AACCCCCCCCCCCACCCCCAAACTAAAGGAAATAAATTTTTTATCCGACATCGATCTTTTGACGTCGTCCCTAAGTGCACAAGTCTTTGGTATGAACTTCAGATTAGTAAGGACACTCAGTTTCAATACTAAATTTCTCAAGCATGTAGGATACTAATATCTGTGTGAAGTTTAAGCTCTGTAAGTCAATATATTCATCGTTTGTTGTGATCAGATTTTCTGAATGATGGGAATCTCAATTACAAATTTTTATAGAAATTTAAAACACATGCAGAGATGTGAATATTCATTTATAGCCATAGAAAATAGTTAAATAGTGAAACAAACACCATTACATTCACCAGCTAAGCTCCTAGAAATGTCACAATGTTGTAATTTAGTACATGTATTAGTCAAATGCCTCCCTAAATATAATGTTTAGGGAAACTTTTCTCTGAAATAATAATTTTTCTTTTTCTTTTTTGTGAAGAACTTATGCTGATAAATTAAGTTCTAACATAATCCAAGCCGTTATGGATCTTCTGTGCAATCAGTTGAACAACCTGCTTGATGTTGCCTGTGGCTATGCTAACAAACCTCATGCTTCACTCAAACCTCATGAGAAAACACTGAAGGAAGACAAAGATGAAAATGAAACAAAAACTGGTCAGCAAGATCCTTCCAAGAAAGCTGATCCTAGTAAAGGTGAAAAGCATTGTGATACATGAATGTATATGTGCAATAGTACAGCGGGTGGAAAGTTGATGTACCTTAGTGTTGTAATCATATTTATCTTTTGTATTGTATTGACAACCAATAATTATGTCATTTTTCAATGTGTATTACAGGGAGGCCTTTGAAACCAATAAGTGAACGTTCAAGGAAACTAGCAGAGACCTCATTGGGTGACTTCTTAGTGTTCTTAAGACGTGTAGCATCTTCTAGAGTTGTTCAGCAACAGATTAGTGACAGGAAATGGTGTAATCTCTTGCTGTCTATTGCTGGAAACAAACCAGGTACTGGTAAGTGAATTTATTTATTTAATTTAAAAATTCTGAATTTGGGTAAGTTCTAGTCATCCTGTGGCAGTCCACTAACTCTTTACAGCAAGCATGCTGTGACTTGTTGCATTCGCTGGGGACAGGACACCACACAGGACCATTAAATTCATACCTGCTCTAATTAAACACATTTCTCTGCAAGCCTGACAAGTGTATACTCTTTATCACTGCCGAGTGTACAACCAAGTCTAGGAGTCAAACCCCCAATCTCCCTGATGCTACACATCAAATTAAATTAAATATAGTGTACAGTCCAGTAATTGGACTACGGACAAATGATTATTTTAGGAAGTGGCTGAATTGTTAGTGGACAAAATTAACATTTTAATGTGGGATTTATGCACTAGTAACTTGATTGCAGAATTAAATGTCAGTGGAGATCATTTCAACAGAAAATGTATGAAACAATACTTAGAACGACTCAAAGGTGACTAATTTCTTGTCATTAAGAACAACATTTGATTGGTAGCATTTGAGTGTGACCATTTCCTGCCACATGTTTGAATTGCTAGAGGAAAATATATAATTATTGTTCCATGAAAAAAAGGGGTTTAACAAAAGGTGATGTTTGTGTTTCTCTGACATGCATTGACAATTAAATTCAAACTAGAATCCCAGGTAACATTGACTATCTACTACACTAAATTCTTATTTGATCATTGAACACTTTCACAATGATTCTATGCAGCTGCCAGTACACCTATGAGCTACATACATGTTTAATACTTAATAATAGTAATAGTCCCCGTTCGGATGAGTCCAAAAAAGATATATTGGTTTAAAGATCCAACTCAAAATGACCGATTTGTGGCCATTTTTTGTGCTAAGAAATCATCAAAATCATTTTTGGCATTCCAGAACTTGTCCTTGTTTGTGTATGGATGAATTTCGTCCAAACTTGGTACATGTATTAGACATTATGGGTCCCTGATGCACGTCATTTTGTTTTTCAGCTCGCATTCAAAATGACCGACTGGCAGCCATTTTATTTTGAAATGGATATACAGATGTATTGGTTTGACGATCTGATTCAAAATGGCTGATCGGTGGCCATGTTTTAATTAATGTTGTTCCAGAGCAATATTTCTCAATATGAACAAGTATTTCTACTACTGTAAAATACTTTATTTTCGCTTGGAATTAATTTTTGCTATTTTAGCTGAAGGAATGATTCAGTGAAAATAAAATTCAGCGGATTTACTTTTTTCTCTATATTTTACATTTAGCGTGTCAAAAATCAGTGAAAATACATACAAAACACTCAAAAAATCTTTTCAGCGAAAATTTATTCCAGCTAAAATAAAGTATTCTACAGTATATTACAATAAACAAAACTATATAACTTAGTTTTGATAACTAACGGGGACTGTGCCATGCATGGCTTGTTAGTGAAGAAATAATGTGAATCTATTTCTTCACTAAGTTGTTAAGTTAGTCAGAGACCAGTTTCTTTTGTATTTGTTTGCAGCAACTCCACTGGTAGAGAATGTGAGGACTCGACTTCTAGCTCTTCACTTATTGGAAGCTGTCTTACCAGCATGTGATGTCAATACACATAGTGATCACATCAAATCTGTTGTGGATGTTTTATTTTCTAATCTTTCGGAAAGTTTCTGGTGTGTGCCGCAAGCTGTGAGTGAACCAGTAACTTCAGAAAAGTTTCTGACAAAAGGTTCAACATTCCAGGAGGAAGAAGATGAAGATAAGTTAGCAATGCAGGAAGCCACATTTGATGGTGAACGAACAGTTTGTTGTAGTGGTGAAAATGGCCATACTCTCGTACATGGATCTGGTGGTAGAGGCTATGGTTTGGGATCAACAGGAATTACGTCTGGTTGTTATCAATGGAAGGTTAGTGTGGCAATATTTTGCGGTTAGTTTTCCCCTAGATGAATACTCAGAATTCTTCCTCATTATTGAGTTCTGCTATCTTGTGATGTATAACTTGGTTACTTTTTGTTCATGAATACATGAATCTGTATTGCTTTCATGCGTTTATCATTGAATCACCTGTTACATGTTTGTATTAAGAGAAATGAATGTTGGGAAGTGTTTCCTGTAAATAAATTTTTCACATTGTGTTTTCATCTCAGAAACCACCTTCAATCAAGTGTAGGTCGAGTGGTGATGAGTTCTGAGATTATAGCATTTTAATCGGGTGGTTCACAAACCAACAGCAGTTGTTTAGTTGTGTTAATTTGGCAGGTTACTACATCATTATATTTTTATTTGTCCACAGTTTTTCATTGTAAAAGAGAATAAAGGAAATGAAGGAACATGTGTTGGAATATCTAAATATCCAGTACGAGATTTCAGTCACAGAACAACATCTGACATGTGGTTATATAGAGCTTACAGTGGGAATTTATATCATAATGGTGAACATTCATTAACATTGCCAGGATTTACGCAAGGAGATTATATTACATGTGTATTAGACATGGAAGCTAGGACAATCTCATTTGGAAAAAACGGAGATGTAAGTTGTATTTTTGTATTTAAGATTTGCATAAATTTATCAGTAAATGTCATTTGAGATGAAATGTACCCAATAAAATGTGTCATGTATGCAGTTATTAATGATCAGTGCATATAGCATACAGAGATCTTGAGTTTTTATTGCCAAAATCATACATTAAATTACTATAATATTAATAACTTAATTGGGATTGGCAAATGCTGCACTTTCATTCAAAACAAAATCTGGTGATGGTTACGTAAACTAGATTTATTGTTCTGTTGCCAATATAGGAACCAAGACTTGCCTTTGAAGATGTAGATGTGACTGAACTTTATCCAGTAGTTATGTTTTACAGCAGTAATCCTGGAGAAAAGGTATACATTGTCCAGTTGTTTATCACATATGAGAGAGAGAGCGAGTCTGGGCATCATCAGTTTTTTGAACAGGCACTGATCAATTATATTTAGTGACTTAGTGCAAAGCTTGAGTCTGTTCTAATAATTTATGAACATTTTGGTGAATATACTTAAATGTTGAGAAATATACTAAGTGAAAGTTTATTATACTTTTTTTTCCCTATTTGTGTATCCCAAAAGTCACAAAAACTATTTTACCTAGATTTCACTACTAACTGCATTTGCACCCGACACAATTCAAATTCAGAATACTGAACTTCAAAGTCGAAGTTAATTTGGAATTAATTAGATGTTTTATGGATATTTGTTTTCTGCACTGCAGGTTAAAATCTGTGATATGCAAGTAAGAGGTGCACCAAGAGATTTGTTACCTGGTGACCCGCTCTGTGCTCCACTGTCAGCTGTTATAGCAGAAGCTAATGTAGCACTTATAAGATTACTGCATAGAAATGGAAACTGGACACAAGCTATCAATAAATGTATTCTAGAAAGATTTTCATCTATCAAGAAAATAACAGAGTTGTTGGAAGGAAAAGCTGATGATGTTAAAAATAACAAGAAAGATGATACGGAGGAGTCAACAAAAGAGGATAAAGATGGAAAACTAACTAAGCATGAAAATGTGTCAGAAGACAAATTGCAAGAAATATTACAAACTGAAAGCGAGCAAAAGGATTCTGATAAACCAGATGATACAGTGACAGCAGATGATAAATCTGATGATGTTGTAGAAACCGAAAAAGAGGAAGTTACTTTGAATAGTTTGTGCCAGTATGTATGGCCAGCGTTGTCTGTTATTGGTGGTGTTGATAGAGGGTTGCGAGTTGGCGGTAGATGTGTTCACAGACAGACATCGAGAGAAGCTACACTATTGGGAGTTTTAAAAGAAGGTGGCACATCTGGAAAAGTTCAATGGGAGGATGCTGATGCCACAATCAGGTAAATGGCGTAGTAATTGTTTACATCATTCATGTAGTCTACAGATCCACTTTCGTTGGTATCGATGACTACTACAGCAATGGGTGCTACCGGTATTCACATTACAGTTTTGCATTGCAAAATACATGTTGGAAGCCGTGCACTTAAAGGTCCTGTTAAAAAATTAGCATTAACAAATTATAGTCTGAAATAGGTATACTTAAAATCTCTCAAAAACAAATATTCTTGGCTTTTCAGCTCCGCTGTTGACTTTGTCAAGCTTCTTGATAACTTCAAGCCTGAATGCTTTGATACTTGCATATATGTACCTTGGGTAGCCTTCTCAGATTTGTTCATTTCATGATGTTTCCTTTTAATTCTCTAATTTTGGTGAATATTTTTGTTATTTTTGGTAAAAAGTGATATTTTGGACTTCTTAAAAAACGCCTGTCTGATTGCTTTGATATTACATATATAGGTACCATACATGTACATGTATGTGGACCTCTCTCATATTTGCTCATGAATATTTTTGTCATTTTTGATAAAAAGTGATATTTTCAAATTCTTGTTGAAAAAAGCAAGTCTCATTGCTATGATACTATACAAATTGTTAATTTTCTAATGATATTCTTTGTTCTTTAATTGAAATGTGCATTGCTAACAGCGGAGCTATCTCAGTCGACAGGCTGCTTGTCTACTCTTCTGTTGAATACTAATAGAGAAAATAATAAATATGTGTGATTTGAGTTATTTATAATATCTTCATTACAGTGACACAGCGATATCTAATTTGGATGCAATAGAACCAGTTGGATTTGATTCAAGCAAACTGAATGGACTGTCAGCATCACATCTGATGGAATTAATGAAGCTGTCATCAATCATTGAAGACAATGCTGCTGCAGAGTTGAAGCTTGCATCGGCTAGAAAATACAAGACTGAAAAGTCATTACAGAGAGAATCAGAACAAGGTTCGCTAGAAAAAAGTTTAGATGCCGACATTGCCAGTGCAATGAATGTAGATGAATGTAGTTCAGGAGCTAGTACACCAAGGGATACAACTGTTGAAATGACAGAAAGAGCAGTATCAACTGAATACCCTGAATCACTTGATTATGCCGTTACAACAGCGATAACAGTGATCTCAGATTCTAGTGGGACTGTGAGTAGAAAGCAAACTGCCCAACTTGCATCTCCTGAATCCAGTTTGTCTGATTCTTCACCAGTGAATGAACCCACAGGCCTATCTACTGCCAGTGCTGCCACACAAGCTGGTGAAACGATTGCTGCAAGTATCACTACTCAATTAGTAGATGAGGTTTTTCAAAATCTTTCCTCTGAACTGCAGGGTGCTTTCACGTCTAAATCTGGAGACAAATCCGCATACATCGGTAAAAGTGCTGCACTAACACATTTGATGTCTGAGGATAGACCAGAAAATACTGATGCACTCAGTAAAAGCACAGCACCCCCTAGTGACGTGATGGAGCCATGGAAAAATGAATGCGAGATAAGTGCCTTACAGTCAGCATATCTCCAGATTGGAGCCTTGAAATCCCTCGCTGTTATCATGGGTTGCAGTAAATTTGCTGAAATGTTGTTGGTTCCAAAGGCTGATCTAGAAGAGAAGGATCCTACACCAGAAGAAACTAAGAATGATGAGGATGGCGATAAAAGTACAAAAAGTCGGGACGAAAATGATGAATTAAAGGATGTGATGAGAACTGTTATGAAACAGATGGTAAAGAGAGCTGTTATGCCGTCCCCGATTAAAAGAATTGTATCATTAATGGAATTAGAAAGGGCACATGCGATACTACTTAAGATGGCAATCAATGGTTCTTATGCAGATATTGGTGAACCACTGTCTAAATCAAGTGAGTATTAAATCTACATGCAAGAATAAAGCTTTTATTACATTTATGTCTAAATAGGGGAATACATCAAAACCCTGAAAATGCTGTGAACATGCATGAGCGAAATTTGATATACCTTGTCAAATTTGAATTGTGTCACCTTCAACAAACCAGTTTATCTGCAAAGCAGCTTCACAATGTTTTATGTAAATGGTCAGTCTATTTTGTGCAGGATAAATTTATACATGTAATACCTAGCTCTGAAATAGAATTTTGGTAATTCTACAGAAATCATGAACAGCATGCACAGTAATTTGCTATTTTAAAGTGAAAGTCTTAGAATTATTTTTGTGTTGCTAGCAAAGCATTGTGGTATTATATTTGATAGTTGTCTTTTGCAATTCCACAAGATGTAATCGTATGTAAAGTGTTAATGAGTCAATAAAAAAGGAGATCAGCCCCCTTTTATAGTTCTATGAAATGGTTATGCTTTCAAGAGACTTGCTTCAAAATTTAGAAAATGGAGATAAAAACACTCCTTCGAGTATAGTATCAATATTAGCATGGAATGTTACATCTTTGCAATCCACAATTAGGTATAATATTTTTCGGATCATTTCAGGTGATGAGAGTACCAAGGCTAATGATGTTAATAAATCCACACCTTCAGAACCATCATCAACTCCAAATAGTCGAACTCAAAATCAAGATTCAAATGCCAATTTTGATGGACCTATAGTTCGTGCATTTGACAGACAAAGGAGTACATTACGTTCAAACGCACCACCTTGTCTGGTCATACCACCACAGATTGCAACTACATCAGATACTCTACCTACACTGTCACCATCATTGTCTCCTCCATTGACACCAGTCATACAAGGACAGGGTGTAGTGGAGGTTGGTAGGGAGATAACAGATGCAGTTGGTAAGTATCATTATTGTAGTTTGAAAGGATAGGTTATATTACACTTCTAATGACAAATGAATTTTATGTGTGAGGGGTAATAATCAGATGACTGCTCACACTGTATTCTTCTGTACATATTTAGTTATTGGCTAGAGTGATTAATATGTTCAAACTATACATGTATATATTTTACTTTTAGTAATTTTGTTTTGTGGATCTTGTGAGCAGCTACTTTGGTTTTTGAAATGTACATGCAATATCTCCTACATGCCTAAAACAATTTCTTTCATACGTTGTACCTCAACGAGGGACGGTGGTTGTACATATACTGTAAAAACTTTGTTTTAGAATTCATTGATATTTCCATCATGCACTGTAGTACAATGTAAACAAAGGAAAGTGTGTGAATGAGATATCAATAACATCGAACCTGTGTTGAGTGTTTACAATGTAGTATTCCCATGTAAGGTGAAATTCAAATGCTGGAATGAGTGCAGATATGGAATTTTATGGAAAGCAAAATTCTATTGTCTCAGTGCTAGATGTATAATAATGTGTCCCATGACGGCTTGTTTTGAATGATTTTTGTTGTTTGTTTACAATTAGCAACCTCCACAACTTCATCCTCATCAAGACCATCAAGTTGTCCTCAGAGGAGAAGATCTCCATCGCCACCCCCACCACCACCACCACTGCCACCTCCACCGATAGCAGTACCATTACTAGAAATGGGATTTTCCATTGGACATATTAAAAGGGCTATGACTGCCACTGGTGAGTATAATGTCTGGCAATGCCTACCTACAAGGTCACCTTTCAAATTTATTATTATGTAAATATTTGTGAATTTTCACACTATATTACACTCTTCCTTTAGTGTGTGGGGCACACTGGTATAATAGGGGAAAAATTAACTTAATTTTGAGACTACGTTTGGAATATAAAAATGAATGCTATACAATCATTCTAGGCACCAGAGGAGAAGTAGATGCTCGTAGAATAAATGTGTTAGCAACATGGATGATAGAACATCCCAGTACTGTAGAAGATGAAGATGAAGAACCTACACCTACACCTTGTAGTGAGGAACCTACACCATCCAGACCATTACTTTCAACTCCTGTACACCAAGCCCCAATGGCTATATGTGAAAGTACTGCTATTGAACCAATGGAAAGGAGGTAAAAACCATGCAATATTCACTCATGGTATCATTATAGCTGTTATTGTTGCCTGTACTATCTATCAAGTACTGCTGACTAACATTTGTATTCTGTACAGTTTCGTACCATTGTCATTTTTTTTTAAGTTTAATCATAACCTTAACATTGTATAAACTTAATTTCAGTGAGATAGGTGAAAGAGAAGTTGAAAGTGAATTAATGCATGTAACAAGAAATGACCGTCCACCCACTAGACAAGGTGGTCTACATCAAAGATATAGGGCTATGGCTGATTTGACATCGTTAATGACTCATAGAGGTAGGTGACTGCTGTAAAGTATCATAATCACTAATTGCTGTAATTAATTATTAAAAAAATGATATTTATTGGCTTCACTACAATTAGAGAACTATCAAAATAGATTCTACTTTGCTTTCTTCAGGTCGTGACAGTCATGAAAATGCAGAGAGAGCACATGTGCGCGGTGAAGGCAATGCTTTATATGATACACTGTATCTTGATGAAGACATAGAAATAGATGATGATCCCATGGAAGATCTTTTCAATGCGGATTTTGCATCTGAAAGGGAACTTTTGGGACTTTGGTATCCAGAGGTAAGACAGTTTGTACCATGTTCTTGTCTGGTCTATGAAAATTACTCAACCCTTACATTTCTAAAGATCTACTATGCCACAATGTTTGGGAACCAAAAATAAATTTCTATTGCCCACTTGAATTCTTGTATACATATTTGGCTACAACTAACTAACATCCTTCTTTGTAAATTTTACAATAAATTGTACTTTTGGTAAAGACATGACTATCCTGTCTCTCCGTTGCTGACTCACTACTTCTAAGTATTTAAAAGTCTGAATTAGCATCAGTTGACAGTGCTGATGATTCTTGTATACATATTTGGCTACAACTAACTAACATCCTTCTTTGTAAATTTTACAATAAATTGTACTTTTGGTAAAGACATGACTATCCTGTCTCTCCGTTGCTGACTCACTACTTCTAAGTATTTAAAAGTCTGAATTAGCATCAGTTGACAGTGCTGATGATTCTTGTATACATATTTGCCTACAACTAACTAACATCCTTCTTTGTAAATTTTACAATAAATTGTACTTTTGGTAAAGACATGCCTATCCTGTCTCTCCGTTGCTGACTCACTACTTCTAAGTATTTAAAAGTCTGAATTAGCATCAGTTGACAGTGCTGATGATTCTTGTATTGTACCAATCAATCAAAACTCCTGCTCCATCAATGACAAACACATCTGTGCTTTAGCATATAATAGTGCTATTGAACAACACAAATATAAAGCATTCTCTGTATCCCTTTGAAATATTTGGAGCTTGTCTTCAAAATAAAACTTAATGAATCAATTCAAATCCAATGTTTGCGAGTCAGTCAGTGCTTCTTGTAATATTGGCTATCTTTTCATTCGTTATTAGCTTTCTAGAGAATTAGATGGTGAAACTGAAAGTACAGTCAACTGTGATTTATGCGGTGTAACAACAAGCCAGTTCAATCGTCATATGCGTACTCATCATCCAGGCTGTGGTGGTAGTTGCGGACAGAAAGGTTATCGCAGTAATGGATCATTCGTCGACGGTTGGTTTGGCGGTGCTTGTGGTAGTGGAAATCCATATTACTTAATGTGCAATGATTGCCGTGAGAAGTATCTGGGAAAAACTATAGAGAAAAAAATTGCGATTGATTTCACTACTTCTCCTGAAGGTGGAGGTGATGGTAAGTATTTTGTACACTCCATATTTTGTGTTTGGCTGTCATAAAACCACATGCATTCAATTTGGCTTCTCTATGATGTACATTATGTATATACAGTTGTATGTGTGGGTAAAACTGTCAACCATTTGATTTGACAACATTTTGTTAAATTCACCAATTTCCGACCCTGTTTTGCATCAAGATCCCTGACTAGTGGAATTTGTCTCTTGGAAAGAAGTTAACAGTACCTTGTACTACCATGGACAATTGACCGATGTGTTTCCAACATTGGATCAATTGAGGACATGCATCAAAACAACTGCATGACACTTTCAAAGTTGAAACAGTGTAAATATTTTAAAAATTACGAGTCTCTTACTGTCACATTTCAGCTTTAGCATCACATAGATGTACGGCGATAGGAATACACGATTCTGAAAGTGTTTTCCTTTAGAATTATATTGATGTTTAGCATTGAGTTTGGACTACAGTTTTGAAATCTCAGTTACCAAATCAGTTATTGAATGCTCATAACAATTGGCACTTCCACTGTAGATGTTGATTAATTTCAATTCAATGCAACTGCCAGTGTATTGACAGAAATTGACTGTACATCTGCCTGAGCTGTGTATGACGCAACTTTATTGCATTATTGTCAATGCCCTGGAGTACATTGGTGCTCACAAGAACGTGTCAAGAATGCAAATAACTTATCATGTGTTCAGTAAATTGAATACTTGTAATTAATAAATTAATCAATGAAGTATTTTCAGTTATTTTCCTCCATAACTTATAGTCCCTCTCACAGAAATGGTTTATTTCAGCCTACACAATGCATGTTGAAGACCTGATATCTATTTGAACGTCGCCAGTGTGTGTTCCAATCATAGGAACGTATCAGCAAATTGTCTGTGGTGCATGTTTACACCAAGTTCAAACATGCACAACTCAATGGCTGCCACCTTTAAATCGATAAAGATTCACAATATATACGTTAAAGATAATGCCACAACACATACCTATACAGACTCGATTTTGACTTGGGGACCCTTTGAGTTCATCCTGTCTGTGTGAAGTGTGTGTAAATGTATCTATTCCCCTGATATTCCAAGAGCCATTAATCAGAATTCAATAAAACTCAGTACATAAATTCTCTGGTTGCTGCTTTGTTTTTATCAAATTATACTTGTTATTTCCATTGCAGATGATTTAGATGTATCAACTTTGGAGTCAGAATTGCAATTAACAGGTCTGGAAAGTTTTGATTTGATTCAGACCAAGCTTGGTTTGACTGATCGTAAACCAGTTCCAAGCCCAGTACAGTTTAAGGAGCCTGATCCCTTAGGAACCACTAGTGCAGTGATAAAGGCTATTGGTGATCGGAATAACCCTACCATGACAGTCAGTAAGTTGAACTACTGTAAAATACTAATAATTAATGCATTTACAGTAACTCAATGAATTTCCCTGTACATACTATAATTGTAATGAGTGATTGCATCATGAATTTTAGAGTCAACTTCACAGAGGTTTTCTTTATGGCCTCATCACTCACTTAAAGGCCCAGGTATACTATAAATACAGTCCTAAACAATAGGGATTATTTCCTTGCTTGTCACGCTGTAGTAAACAGCTCCAGCCAAGCTCCAGTAAAAACGTGTTTTCTTGAACTTACAGGTCGATTATGTCGTGCCAAAGTGGATGTATGTGACTATGAATATCATAGCAGTGACTGTGTGTCGTATTTACATTTTGTATGACAATAAATAGTGTATGAGTTGAGATTTTGGCGGATAAAAGTCAAAAACACAAATCGGGGAAAGAGACGCGCTACTAATCTTGAATAATTAACTACTGTCAATCAAAGTCACGTGATGTTCGACCGCTGAAACAGGATGCGTCATAGGCTATGCAAGTGATTAACAACACTCATTAGCATAGCCGCACCTCCAATTCACACTTGCCTGGGGCAAGTGAATTGGGCCTTTGAATATATAAATTAATTTGTTATTATGAAAAATGTTTTCTACATCATCCTCAAAGTGCAACTAGGAAGCACTTAACATTAGTTTTTTCTTTAATTTTTTTTATTGACTGTTTTTTCTATATATTTATTTACAGGTGATACAAGAATAAAAGAACCTTCCCATAGTGAAAGAATAAGTCTAGGAGAACAAGTCGCCTTATTGAATAGTCCACATGAAAGAACCTTAGCACTGCATAAGACAACCGCTGCAGCTCAAGTACTTCTTGCAAGATCCATGGTTATGAGAGCTTTATCTTTATTGTCTATAAGGTATTGTATCACTCCATTGTTCTGGCCATGTGTTTATTTCTATAACTCTCTATGTAGATTTGTAATCAGTCACAGTTTTTGTCATATGCAGTTTAATCATCACCACAGTTGTTTTCTTATGCAGATTGAAACTTGAAACAACATGGCTACTCGTGTGATTAATTTAACTATACATACATCTGATAAATGTGTCTTTCACACAGAAATGTTGGTGATTCTGAATTTAAATGTTCATTCATTATGTTTCAGAATGTAATGTGGTGACAGGCTGAGATGTTATAGTACTGTGTGATTTTTGACATGCATTATTGTGTATTTTGTGTTTTATGAGAATTGTTCTCGCTTCTTATTTACAGTGGATCAGTGTGTAACCTAACAGAAGGATTAGAGTCGTTAGGTTTGGCTGATATACGTCTGGTTGTACGATTGATGTGTTTGGCTGCAGCAGGAAGAGCCGAGTTCGCCACACCCATGGATGTATTGCATTCATCTTTGCCTAATAGTACTAGTAATGGGGATAATAACAATAGTTCATCTGCCAGTCTGTCATATCTGAGTTCAGCCATTGGTTCTCTAGCTTCAAACAGCCCACCAGCATCAAAGCTTTTAATACAACTCTGTACTCAGGTATTAAACTTAAAAATATTATACAATGGCTGCAGGAATTTCTCAGGCATACCCAAACTAATTATCTCTAAATCCAACTCTCATAATTCTGAGATAAATCATGCTCATCAGTTAAAAATGTGTGTCCCAGCCTCTTTCCAGCTTTCATTTGATACACATTATACAGATACATTATTAGCCAGATTTCTATTCTAAATGTATAATAGTCGCATATTTAATAAAGGTTGTTTGCGGATGATAATGATCTTTCCTATTGATTGAAATACAACAATTTGAATTTTGTTCTGTCCAGGACCTCATGTTAGCTGCTTGTGGACTGAGTAATTCATTGCCTGATCATAAAAAGCCAGTACATAATACTAGAGATGTGCCAGAGCAGCTACCAAGCTCGGACCAGAAAGTGTTATCATCACCGAGTTTTGCTGTTACGCAAGCACTTGTAGTACTACTTGCTAACAGTGGCACGGGAGGGCTTCCAAAACTGAATCTACCGCCAAATTCAAGAGGTATGTTTTGGTCATGTGTGTGCTGAGAAAAAAAAAATATTATTGTTCAAGCATGCATTTTTCAGAACATTTAAGCATTGCATTGTAAAATTATTTTACATTTGGATGTATGTGAAATACCTTGCTTTTTTCATTTCACCCGTGACCATTCATATAATTTTTTTTTTGTTAGTCCTCACATAAAGTTTTTTACAGTAATACACTAAATAAAGTATTATGTGTATTTTTATAATAATTTACACCTATGCTTTTTTAAATATGCATGAAGCTATACTTTGTTTTTGTTGCATGTACAAATTATTTTGGTGCTGGTTTTTAATTTACTAACAGATCATGACGCTATTTCGTTGGATGATACAGATCCTACTTCATCCTCCTCCTCTACACCAGGTATGCTCAGTTATGGTCCTCTACATTTAGCTAATGCCTTAGCTGCCTGCTGTCTCTCTGCCAAGTTACCTTCATTACACCGTGAATGGGCGGCTCAACAATTGGTTAGGATGCTGGCTGGACAAATGAAGGATGGTTCACCTGTGTCTGAATGTGGTGCAGCTGATTTAGCGGGTGATTTACCAAAGTGTACGCTTCTAAAGTTAGAAGCGCATCAGAATAAAGTTACTACGTGTACATGGTTCGCAAAGAAAAATATTGTTGCTACAAGGTAATTGCATCTAGATCAGTTGAGTTAGAAAACTCTAGTCCAGTAATCACAAGGAAAGTCTTCACATCCTCCTTTAATATTAATAATAATATCTGCCTCCTCCAATGCATACAGTATTTGCTCAAAAGCCCATTTTCCAAAGATCCTTAATAATTGTGAAATCAAACAAAGTTCATACAATTGTAGTGGTTTCAAAACATTGCGTGAGGTTTGACAGATGCAAAAGTAATTTTTGACACATTTGATGATAAAAGTATCTCCCTCTAAGAAATCATTATTTTGACATTGAACATACCTTCTGACCTTGTAGACCTTGGAAAATCCCTTATTTAGCTGTGCATGGCATCAAGAGAAAGTACGAGTCTGGGGTACTTAAAATCTCATCTCTGTGACCAAAAGACAATTGGTTGGATAGCATGCATCCCTATTGCAGATTTACTTCTAAAAGGTGGAAACTAAAAAATTATCAGCTGAGAAAGAATTATAAACTCACACTAATGACTCCAGTGATGTCTTAATGAACCCAGTCATGTCCTTGAGATCCCAATCATGTCACAATGATCCCAGTTCTTTCCTATTGATCCCAGTAATGTCAGAATGACCCCAGTGCTGATGTCTTAATGACCCCAGAGAAATTTTTACTGCTAAAAAATTCCCCGATTTTCACAAATTTTTCAAGAGTTTGTCTCTTTCAAAAATTAAAGAGTTTTACTGTATATTTTCTTTAAAATTCATTTTTGGTATAGTGGTTATGATGGTACAGTGAGAGTCTGGAATCTGTCCTCAAGGATGCAACCAATATTACAGCAAACATGCGTCTTTAATAAAAATGATGATACAGAGTATCGGAAATACTGTGCTGAAGATTATAGTGGTCAAGTGCTGTCGTATATTTCTTGGAATGCTACTGGTAAATTGCTGGCTGGTGCCATTGAAAATTATGTAAATATATGGGCTGTATCTGGTAAGTATATCTAGGTAGAGGGATGAACTTCTAACCTTGAATAACATTTCTATAAAGACAGGGGACACTACAAATGTAAATATTTTCTCTTCACAACATTCCAGCTGTGTTTATTCAGTTGAGGTCTTGTGAAAATGTAATTGTTAAAAAAAAAACTGTAGTCACATTTATGTATAAAACTTGTTTTCTATTTTAGGTGGACGTGGCCATTTAGATATCCAGCCTCACTATGTTACAGCTATGACTTGGCCTCAACATAGAGCGTTATTTGAAGGTAGAGTCGGCACCACCATGGATTTACTACTTGTCGGTAGACTGGATGGATCTGTTGCTATTATTGAAGTTATAGATGCATCAACTATCAATAGAGTTGAATTGCAACACTGCTACAGAACAGGGGGTGAGTCGTCATAATGCAGAGTGGTGCAGTTGATAAACAAACTTATTATGACCACTGATTGCCACACTATTGCACAGTTTGGACATAAATTATGATATTCCAACTTGAAAAGGAGGTTGCATCATACATGTAGATTTGTTTTTTTAACTGATTTTAATAGGCATCTTTGAAGCAGAATTTGTATATTGTTATCAAAGTTGCATTGCCACCTCATATTATATGCAGAATACCTCACTGGTCACCGTGAGAAATGATAAAATCAGTTGGTTTCAAATTGGCAACAAAATAAATATTGGAACGCTGAAGCTAGCAATGGTACTTGACAAAACATGGTCGTGGTATCCAATCAACAAATCAAACATAATTTTCATTATTGTAATCAGTTGTATACATTTGGAAAGGATCTACATTTGATTTCAGGATTTTTTTGGCTGAAATTTCTCATGAACTGTACAAAAAACCAAAGCCCTTATGTTGCTTACAGGGGTCAGTGGGAGTTCGGCATGCAACTTTGAACATGCGCTGTAAATTGATAGCAGGGTTCCTTTAGAACATTGTAGATTTAGGACCGCTTCTTTACATCTGATTTTAGATTTATCTCAACAATGAACATATCTGATTAACATATTCTATTGTTATTCAAAGTAACCATAGACTTCTATACTAAATTCTGGGGAGGGGGGGGGGTATACTGGATAGGTGAATACTCTGTATGTGGCTTTTTTGTCCGCTATTACCCCCGGTAATTCATTTCACATATTTTTAACCTACCTTCTGTTCTCAGTGTCTGTATCACATGTAGCTTGGTATGATGAAGATCGACAATTTGCCATTGGCTACAGTGATGGTATTGTACAGTTTTGTAGTAGGAATTCATATGAACCTGATCCACTTCAAACAATTCATGCACATGAGGTATGGAAACCACATTTTTGTTATTGTCACGATGTTTCAGCTATAATGGTACTATTTAATGTTGTGTTTGATACAAGTGGCATATAGAACACATGTAAAGTATATGTAATTAATTAGTACAAAATTCTAATAAACACTGCATGACAACTTTAGCAATTAACATTTATCGAGTCTTTCTCCATGCTGCTCAGTCTGCCCTCCAACTGATTTAACACGTCACTGATGTACAGAAATTTTTCATGACACTACTAGCTCTTTTCCTGACATACCAACTTTGCAACAAACTCATACATTAATATAATAATCTTCATTTCACTGTCGTTATGGTGAAATGAAATTCATATTTTATAAAAAAAAATAAGTGTTAAAACAAAGGAAACCAGATGTCAAAACAGTTGAGTTTCTGCACTCAGCGAAACCTACAGTAGTATAAAAGTAATTCACACCTTGTATGATTAACTCATTTACCAGGGATTGTTTTGCTGTTCAAGTCACACATAATATCACTATATTTTGCATTATTTTAGAATGGTTTATCTTGTATGAAGTGGGACCCAACTGGTAATCTTCTTGCCACATGTGCTGATGAAAAGTTAGTCAAAGTTTGGGCTAAACTGGGAGAGAATTGGTCACCTGTTTATTGTCTGGCTCATACATCATTTGCCGGTACAATGGCTTGGTGTTCAGCACCCGGCAAAGGAGATGAGCCTCTCCTCATGCTAGCTACGTAAGTTTGGTTTATATACTTGTGCGAGTTCTGTTTATATAGTTGTTAACTAAAGGATAAAAGTCATTACATTATAATTGAGACTTTATGGTTTGAAAACTATACTACTGAAACAGGCACAATTAACAAATGTTGGCATGTAACAAGTATTACAGTGCTAGGTACGTGATAATCTATGTTTCCTGGGATGGTAGTCTCTCGGGTGAATAACAAATTGACAATTACGGTATTACAATATCAGATGGGAGAACAACCTGCAAGAATTAATAACGATGCTGAATATGTCCCTTGAAACCAGACCTAAGTCAAAGATTACTACATTAAACAGTTGTTGCTAAAGTACTAAATGTTATTTGTTACAGTGGTTGTGAGAGTGGAGTAGCATGTGTGTGGACAATTCCTCAACCTGGTGCATCAGCTAAGCTGCCGACAACATTGTATTCATATAACCAGTATAACGTTGAAGGTCATACTGTTGAAGCTGAACATGAACGAGAAGAATCATTCTCACCTCTGGTATGACTCCGACAATTTATTTCTTCATCGAGTTTGACATTCAAGGCTCACCAAAATCAATGAAAATAGATACTGACTACATGTATGTGTTACTGAACATGCTCAAGCAGAATGTTCAGAATTGTGACGATTTCATATCTGTAAAAAATTTGACTGAAAATGACAAATGAAAATTGTAGGAATTGGAATGGCCTCCATCAGCACACTTTAAGCACCCACCTCTAAAAAATCATAATTTTCTGAGTTTATGCCACTGGGCGCTAACGCGGTTGAGTGCGGTATATGTTTATGGTTAGAAGGCGTTGCTTTAAACCGCAAATTTTACAGTCTTTACACTAACCATAGACCTGTTTTCTAAGGTCTATGCACTAACACAATGAATTTGTTACCCTCATCATAACTATGTACACAGATTCTAACTCCAGTTACAAAAGCTGTTCTCTACTGATAAATACAGAAATTTAAACTAGAACTTTACGTACAGAAATATTTTAATTGTAATGCCCTACTATGGATGGACTTACAAGTGAGACGCTTACGTCATTCTCTGATTACTTCAACAGAAAGGAACAAGGGGAACTCGTCGTTTTGGAGTATTTGCTAAAGATCAATTGTGTAAATGTGTTATGATGTTAAAAGGTCATATAAGCTGTATTACTAAACTTGTGTTCAATCCTAATGGTATGGTATTGGTAACAGGTTGTTGTAAAGGATTGGTCAATATGTGGTCTCTCCAGGTGAGTTGTACTCTCCACATCACCTGCGGGCGCCGTTTTTTTCCCTATTCATTTTGACGATGTGATAATGCAAATCCAACCCTTGGTATATATTCAGATTGTGGTGCTATGATTGACACAAATTGAATGCAAGCCAAATTAATTTGATTTGATTATGTGTAATAGCAGTATGGATGTCTGTGTGTTATAGCACTAAAGAGCTGTGCTTAGTCTGAAACTTTTTGTTTGAAAAAGAGACTATCATTTCTAGTTCGGAGAATAGAGGCATTATCAAACAATCTGTGATATGAAATATTCCTGTCATCAGTACTTGTAAAGGAACTCTTTATCGGAAAGATGAGCTGGAAACAATGGGATGACTAAATAAATAGAAAGAAATGAGAATACTGAGTGATTTTATTCAAGTACCGTACACTTTAAATTGACTTTTTTTACAGAGCTTGTCATTTTGCTGTTGCTAGTAGCTGATAGAAAATATCCAGACACATTTATTTTTTTTCAATATTTAACATTTTCACCTCAAGTGATATATACTGCAAAAAAGAGTTGGTCATGAGTTTATATCATTTGACACACACATTTGCTGTGTGAAACATATTTACAACAGAAAACAGCATGCAGACTAGCATTTATCTTTGAACTAGCAACTGTGTTTTAAATGAGAAAACATTTGACTGGAAAAGTCCTCAGCCCTTTTAAAACAAACATGCAACACAAAGCAGCAGTGACTGCTCTTACTACTCTTTTAAATACTTGTATTCAGAATCCAACAAAAACTTTTGTCTTCACAGTTTGGTGCTTTAATTCAGACTCTGCCTGGTAATGGTGGAGTGCAAGACATGTGCTGGGCAGGAGAGTCAGGATTAGTCAGTTGTTTTGCCAGATCCAAAGACGTCACCATGGTGAACTATAGTAATGACTGGTATAATAGAAATAAAGTGTTGATTACAGCTAGATCAGCATTGAAATCACAAGGTATATATGGTTTGAATCAAGCACCTTGTCTCAAAGCACTACTGGAAAAATTACCTATTATATTACAAGAGCAGTATATATATGAAAAGGTTAGTTTACCAATACTCTTCTCTACTCTTTTTTTAGTAAAGTGTATCTGTAATGTTGAGCAGTATGTTTACATGTACATGGTGACAACAGTCTACAAATACATTTTAATATGTGATAATAAAAAATAGCACCTTATTACATGTCTAAGTTTACTTGCTGTAATAATAAAATGTTGTCACAGTTTAAACTTTCATAAATGTTTAAGAATTGACATCATTATGATCATTTACAAAACTGAATATGTGTGTAGCGATTACAACCACCATTTTGGTACAATTTTGGTGTCATTTTCAGTCAGCTACCTGTAAGGATGTTTTTTCTTCACAGCTACTAAGCAGCACTTGGTGGAGAAAATCATCATAATAAAATCATGATAAATAAAATATTGAAACTTTCTGAGAAATTGGGTTTTGAGTGCTTTTCTGCTTTTGAATTTGTCACACAATGACGATTATTGATCCTGGTGAGCCTATTGAGCCTGCTTCTAATAATTTTGTTTGTAATGTTGGGTATCTATTCACAGAGCCATGTACTATGTGGAGATCAGTTGGTACACAGTGCATTTCTACAGTGTTTGGCATCACTCGCCTTAGGTTTGAACTACGACAAAGTACTCTGTGTTACATCATATCCACCACATCATAGACCAGGACCTAATGATGTCACATCTGTCCCTGAATGGTGTTGGTTGGCATCTTTCTGTACTGCTGTTAAATCAGCTGACTCTTTAGTTAGACGATCAGCCTTCCCATCAACCTTTAAAGTACCTAATACAGAGCCTGTGAATGAAGATGATCCCTTGCAGCCCAAAGATAATTCTGCATGGACTTTAACTATGGATGAACAAATCATGGCTTGGGCTACTCATAAACCAGAGGTAAAATATACTTGCTAAGTACAACTTTTTTTTTCACTGAGGATAGCTAACAATTTAACATACATGCACATACATTCATCATGTATTTAGTGATGTTTACTGCGATGTGGTGAAAATAATTGTTGCCATTTATGTTTGATTTTTGCAGCTAGGAATTTTTGTGATTTTATAATTTACTGTTGTTTGTGATATGTTGTTATGATGATGATCAAGGAACGTTCTTTGTGATTAAGGTTATAGATTGATCAAATTCAAATGCAGATGAGATTGTAATGAAAGCTATTCGTTTCTATATGACTGTTTGCTAAATAAAAATGTTTATTTGATATAGGACTGGCAACTTGGTGGTAAATGTGATGTGTATTTATGGGGTGGAGGTAGACATGGTCAGCTAGGTGAGACTGGAAGAGGCGTGTCTTCACCTTCCTTAACATCATCGTTCTCAAACTCACAACAGGTAAGCGGAATAAGGCACAGCTCTTGTTGAGTGAGATGGTAAACTCTCATCCATGGAATGCATCTTTGTTTAGTGTTGATTTAAATAACTGATAGTCATTGTCATTCATTTGATTCATTAAAAACAGATGTTTAATATTAAAAACTCAAAAACACTCAGTGATAGGGTTTGATTTGTGATCATGTACAGTTTAAACTTTCATTCGAATTGACAAGCAATGGACCATCCTTCATACACATTCATAAAAGGACAGTGTATTCTCTTAAAATAGTGATCATGAATACATACAATTGAACTGTGTCAGGGAAGTCTAAAAGTTGTTCAATTGTTAGAAAATGTTTGACCCCCCCATGGCATGAAAATGATATATTCTGTATGATATACCTGTAATCTTTTGTGTTGTGTTCTGCTAATCAGCTAACCATTGTCTCTATAATAAATATATGCAGGATGCACATCATAGTACTTTTGTAACTTACTGCTCATAGAAATCCGTACATATACATGTAGCATTTTACATACTTTGTGTTAACAGGTTGTATGTGGTCAAAACTGTACGTTTGTGGTACATCCGAACGGGACTGTTTCAGCATGTGGTGAAGGTAGTTATGGTCGACTTGGACAGGGTAATTCAGATGATTTACATTCACTCACTACGATATCAGCATTACAAGGTAAAACATCCCAGTAATACCTCTAGTTTTTAGCTCCGCTGTCGACTTTGTCGAGCGGAGCTTATCATATGAGTGATTGTTCGGCGTCCGTCGTCTGTGTCAATGTTTTACTTTTTCGGCTTCTTCTTGAAAACTACAAGCCTGAATGCTTTGATACTTGGTGTATATGTACCTTGGGTAGACCTTTCTCAGATTTGTTCATTTCATGATCATATCTTCAATTCTCTAATTTTGGTGAATATTTTTGTCATTTTTGGTAAAAAGTGATATTTTCGACTTCTTATTAAAAACCACAAGTCCAATTGCTTTGATATTACATATATAGGTATTACATGTGGACCACTCTCAAATTTGTTCATTTCATGATGATATCTTTAATTTTCTAATTTTGGTGAATATTTTTGTCATTTTTGGTAAAAAGTGATATTTTCGACTTCTTATTAAAAACCACAAGTCCAATTGCTTTGATATTACATATATAGGTATTACATGTGGACCACTCTCAAATTTGTTCATTTCATGATGATATCTTTAATTTTCTAATTTTGGTGAATATTTTTGTCATTTTTGAAAAAGTGATATTTTCAACTTCTTGTTAAAAACCACAATCATTTATGGTGAAAAATGATATTTTTGAATTCTTGTTTGAAATCATAGGATGTTGAACCATGAAAAATGGCATGCCAGGTGCTGCAGGAAAAAGTTTTGGCAGATTCAAGAAAAATTAAAATCTACAAACAAGACACCCTAAAAAATCATAGAAAGACTCAAAGATGTAATTAGTATTCTCACTTAAAAAGACACACCAAGGTAGATTGATAGCATCTGAGTGTGGCCACTTCCTGCAAGATTTTCAAATAAAAGTTATTGGCATATAAAAATAGCCAATTTTGTTGAGCAAAAGTCATTTCGTCCAACTAATAGGATTGTGTACTATGAATTAGCCAGTAAATATCATAGATCCAAATGCTCTGTTTGCTTGTATGCATTTTTGACAGCTGGGCATTCAGTACCACAATGTTCATATGTAAAAATCTTTGCAGTTCTAATACTTGTTCAGTCTTGTAAGAATGATTTTCTATTGTATTGTATAAGTTTGAAAAGCTATCATTGGTAACCAACTAAACATTGTGAAAAGACTGACTAACATTGATATAAATTAGATAATGTATCTTATTAATTGTCAGGTTTTGTAGTGACTAGGTTAGAAACATCATGCGGTTCTGATGGCCATTCCATGGCGTTAACTGAAAGTGGGGAAGTATTTAGCTGGGGAGATGGTGATTATGGCAAACTTGGACATGGTAATAGTGATCGACAGAGAAGACCAAGACAGGTTGAAGCTTTACAAGGAGAAGAAGTAGTACAGGTAATATGAGTGTAAAGTAATTAATTTATCAATTGTCACAAAACCAGCTTGTACAATATAGTTATGGAGAATATTCTACAGTGAGCAAGTGTATGGATACTACCGGGGGTATTGTGTTAATTAAAGTATCACGGTGGTAGTGGCTCATAGCGCCACCAACATTGGCTTGTACTCAAAAATTGACCAACTCAGTAATCCAGACAATCTTTTTGACCTAAAAAGACCAGAAAAACAGACTCAGTGAGCTCTGTTATCATCTACTGTTTGGTCAATACTCAAAGTGTAATCAGCTTCTCTTAATGCTCTAGGTTAAAAGTGGTGGCTTTTTCAGAACACCATTACTACTTATTCACTAAGTATAATTTTATACTATGTCACCAAACGTTTACAGTTCTCTGACTTATTGACAATTATACAGAATGTGTATACTGTCTGTAACATTTATCCTGTCTGGCTTACATTCTGTCTAACATAAATTCTGTTTTTATCTAATGTGATTATCAAGTTGAACCTTAAACTTTTGACTGCCAAATATTTTTTCCGCCGAAAATTCAATGCAAATATTTTCACATTTGGTAAAATTATCACTATATTTGGTCATCATTTTAGTTCATACTGACAGTTTCAGATATTGCTTTCAGTTTTTGACCAAAATGTTTGTCAATTTCTATGAACATTTGATGTAGGGAGAAACAGACTGTACACAATCATTTTGTTGCTTGTGCCAAAAGTTGACAATGACGCTCAAAGGGTTAATTATTATTACTGTATGATTTGACAGATGACATGTGGTTTCAAGCATTCAGCAGTAGTAACATCTGATGGTAAATTGTTTACATTTGGTAATGGTGACTATGGTAGACTAGGTCATGGTAATACATCAAATAAGAAGATACCGGAAAGAGTTATTGCTTTGGATGGACAGGCAATTGGACAGGTATGTAAATATTATGTAGACTATGTATAGCCTTCCTTATTTTATTGATCAATAACTTCAGATTATAATTTTTAAAAAAATTGTTGTTCTGAATATATTTTATAAGAACTACACCATTCATACAGTATTAAACCAGTTATGGAAAAGTGTACATGTATTGTAAACAATTTGTGATGAAATGAAATTTTGATAATTTGATACATATACATGTACATAGTCTTGGACATATACAGTCTTTCTTCATTTATCTATATCAGTTCCAAAATTAGTTTGGATAGTGGTAGATGTTTTTTCAAAGATGACATCAATTCTCTACAGCAGTCTCTTTGGTTTTGGAACTACACTGTTTTCAAACTATTCTGACTTGCGTTTCAGGTTGCATGTGGTTTGAACCATACTGTAGCTATATCTGCTGATGGCAATACTGTGTTTGCATTTGGTGATGGAGACTATGGTAAACTAGGGCAAGGCAATTCTACAGCCAAGTCATCACCTCAGGTATGTAGTAAGGGATGATGAAAATGGGCAAACTTTTGGATCAGATATATCTGTAAGAACTTACTAGTATGATATAATTTTATTGGCTGTTACATTTCTTGTGGTCTCAATACATGCATCTCAAAAAATGTTTCCAACTAGTGTAAATATTCAATGTTTTTATTTATTCAATGTATTTCCTTTTCTCTAGAGAGTGGATTCCCTGTGTGGAATTGGAGTCAAGAAGGTTTGCTGTGGTACTCAGTTTACTGTGGCTCTCACTAAAGATGGAAGAGTTTTCACATTTGGACAAGGTAATGTGCATTAAAACATTTTGCTTCATTTTGTACTGCTACCGTACTCATATTTCTAGATTTACAAATCAATGTTTGAACTCTGAAAAAAATTGTCTTTATATTTTTACACTTTGTTTGCATTTTATAATTTTTTCATGCACTGAACAACATTTTATGGTTACATCAGTTCTATTTGTTGTAAGATTTTGACTCCAAATCCAAATTGTGTTAACCCCATATTTTGCTTTCCGGACTCCAATTATTGAAGAGGGACCCAGTTTTTCAGGCAAGCTTGGGTCCAATCTCTGATAAAGTTATCCAAGATCAAATTTCAATTTCTTAAAATTTTGTAAGTGAGACTCATCTTGCTGAGACACTAGCGCAAACCCTGAGACTTTCTGAAAGTGTTTTGTTTCAATAAAACACAAGTAAGTTTATCATTCATGTATGCTTAATGCTTGAATAGATCGTTTAACTGGCATACCAGAAGGTAGAGGGAGACCGACTAACAAACCACAGCAAGTACCAGGCTTATCCGGATATTACGTAGATGATATCACTGTTGGTTCCGAACATACACTTGCATTAACATCCAGTGGAGATGTTTTTGCTTGGGGTAGCAATGGTGATGGTCAGGTAGGAATAGACTTGTTTCTATATTTTTAAGCGTACGTTTTACAAATTAAATGCTAGATATGCGACCCGTGTAATCATTATAACTAATGATTCTTTGTTTTATTTGTATATCATTGCAATATACCATGGAGCCTACGTTAATCTCCTTGATAACCATGGTGCATGTTGTTATGTGTTCCAGCCATATAATATATGGTAAATTTTGAACCAAATTCAAATAAATGCGGACAATATATAGCATATCTAATTTGCTTGAGTTGCTTTTGTGTGTGTTTGTTCCACATGTATTGATTGGTAAAGTCCTATTCAAGCTATATATATTTTCTGCACTATGTCATTCATTTGTGTAATTTTTGTGTTTCAACATAGCTTGGACTAGGTCATACAAACTCAGTAAGGGAACCGACCATGATCAGTGCACTACAAGGAAAGAATATAAGACAGGTCAGTATTCAATATTTGTGGACAATTCCATTGGGACAAGATATGTTGGAAATACAACAAAACTCAAAGATTAATTTGAAAGTTTACAATGTGAATATTGCCATATCTAGAAATGTGTGTATTTACTCAAAAGTCTATCTGTTATTATAGAAGAATAGTTCAAAGTCTGTAGTAGTTAATTAACATTAAAATTGACTGATTTGGTCATTGATGTTAGTATCAAATGTTTATTAATTAAGTACTAAATTTAATATAAATTGAAATTTTTTACAGATTTCTGCAGGACGCACTCACAGTTCTGCATGGACAGCACCACCACCACCTAAAAGACAACCAGGTACCCCAGCACCATTGCAATTAGGTGAGTTCAACAAATTGAGTCATTTGATAAAAGTTTATCACTGTGAATATTTTGAGATTGAAGTGTTATAAGACAGAAAAAATGATGCATATGATACCATACCTCCCTTTTAGCCTGAAAGATTGCATACTTGGTAATCTGAAAGTAACACTTTCCTGTTAGCGTTTCACAAGTAGCTATTATCTTTTTGCTGTGACCATCTCATGGAAACGTAGGTGGTTCTTGTACAAAGGTTTAAGTGTGAATAGGGTGGTCGCTGGTCGCATTAGACAGGTGGTCGCTATATATCCAGTTTTGTTTATATTGCAATGGGACTGCACAAAGGCGGTCGCTGTGAGCAGGTGGAAGCTAATCGAAAAAGTTAACACCTGTAAATCATCATAGTGTTATTAATTCATTTTCTTTTTTTATTTATTAGTTATATACCATTTTTCTTGTATTGCCACGAGCAATATACAAACATATGTCATGACATTTTATAGGGTATTCATATTTCATTTCCTGCTTTAGGTCATCCTGAAACAATTCCACCCCAATTCACTGCATTAAAAGAGTGCAGTGTAGATTCTGTGAGAGCCAGGCTACGACTATTACATCATTTCTCAGATTTAATTTATTCATCATGGAGGCTGCTAAACTTGACTCCACATCAGGTATGGTTCATTTTGTTTTCAGTTGCAGATATGGATAATGATTATATGTAGCTGTCTTCTTGGGAATCTTGGGAAAACAATGATATACAACAGGCTTTACATACTTATTTGTAAAATATCATTATTATTATACATCTGTCATTATGCGCGAATTGCATCTCACCATATTAGGAAATATCCATTCCAAATATGGAATGATCACACAGTATTACTAAAATGGTGAATGCTTATGAAAACATAGTTCATTTTGCTCAGCTCTGGGCTTCCTATACCAAGCTGTCGCATCAACCTCCGCTACACATCAGTCAATACTGTACTGCTTTTGTGTAATAGTTGTTTGTATCCGAATTCTTCATTATTTTATGAATATCTTGTCATTATAGTTGCACTTTTGTGATGATACTAAAATATGAGAAATTTGATGGTTATTAATTAATATGCATGGTAATATTTGATGACTTGTCCAAGTTACTGTGGGCAAAAAATATTTGATATTTAAATATTCATGACATAGGTCTCACAATTCTCACATATTCATCAAATAATAATCTCAGAAATCGCACAATCCCCAAATCCCATCAAACCTTAGGTGATATGCACAGAATGAGCACTAAATTCTAAAATAATACAACATCAGAAGTCAACAACAATATCATGACAACACGTTGGCAAAACCGGCATGTATTATAATGAGCAACGTTCTCATATTCAGGCAATCTTCATGAATACAAACTATGATCCTGGGTATTTTGTTATGTTGAAGGTAAATATTGGTAAACATAATGCAGGCACTACAGGTCTTGTAAATGGACAATTGAGATCACTGTTGGCACCTAGAGTCTATACTTTGCCAATGGTTAGATCTGTTGGTAGAACTATGGTACAAGGAAAGAACTATGGACCACAAATAACTGTTAAAAGACTTGCTACAAGGTGAGTATCGAATTTCAATTATGTAATAATGTGTTATCACAGTTGAGGCAACACAAATTTTACTTGATAAGGCACTATGATCAGTGTGGTAATTCTGTCATCCTCCAAAATGATATGTTAGGAAAACTAATAGAGAGGCTATAAAACTATTTTTTCAGTAATTTGGATGTAGCATTACCTTGTGCTGGTACATGTATATGAAAGGTAGGATTTCAACTTGTGAAGTCCAAAATGTACTTCTCAAATCCTTGATTTACCCAGTACCCAAGCAAACAACATCTGGTATAAACTTGTGTTCATCAGGATAAACATTTGCTCAATCATAATTTCAGAGGTCGGAAATGTAAGCCCATCTTTGTGCAGATTGCAAAACAAGTTGTCAAGTTGAAAGCGGCTGATCTTCGTCTACCAGCTAGAGCTTGGAAAGTTAAGCTAGTTGGTGAAGGTGCTGATGATGCGGGTGGTGTATTTGATGACACTATTACTGAGATGTGTCAAGAGCTACAGACTGGTATTGTACCTTTATTGATACCAACTCCAAATGCTTCATCAGAAGCTGGACAGAATAGAGACAGGTTAGATGAACATTTAATTATTTATTACATTTATCAGTGTCACAGTGTAAGGCCTGCTTCAACCATTTTGTATTGCACTACATCCTACATATTCAAAATTCCATTTAGAATATAACCATAATTCATTCAGTTGTTTGTCTTTTATGTATTTCAAGATCTGACGGGCATTGTAACTAAAGTGTCCAGCATTGTCCACTGTTTTTGTACTATTTGTGTTTAGGTATTGTGGAGTTTAATTGGAATTGATCAATTGGTTATAAAAAAAGTATTTGAAAATTATTATGCAATAAAACATTTTGTCTTTGACTACAGGTTTGTGTTGAACCCATCGGCTAATACTGAGGAGCATCTATCTATGTTTAAATTTCTTGGTATACTATTTGGAGTCGCAGTTAGAACTAAAAAGCCTTTAGATTTGCATCTTGCATCAATTGTATGGAAACAATTATGTGGCATGCCATTAACCTCAGATGATATAGATGAAGTGGATCTATTATTTATGCAGACTCTGAGAGGCATAAAAGATATTGATAAAAGTGGAGTCACTGATGAAAATTTCCATGAGGCAAGTATAGTACAGTAGCACAGGGTGTGTGTATATTAGAGCCTACATGCATTTTTATTTTTCATTTATATATCATCATGTATGGGCAGGTTTCCATCCACTCTGAGCCCCATGTAGGGTTGATCCTAGTACGGTATATTATAGGTGTGCACTGAGTATACACCCCCCATAGACAAGCGCACAAAAACACACAGACATTTGTATTTGCTTGTCATTCATATTTGCTCGTTAACAGGCTTTGGATGTTGTTTTGTCTTTTCTTTTACCACTCTAGCAAATAAGTGGCCGTCGCCTGCCCTCTTTTCCTGTGCAGTTATAGCCAAAGACCCCAGTGATTATGTTACTTTCATTATCCATTATCTTATATTAGAAGCACATATTGTTTTATACAATACAAGACAAAGCCTAAATGATTGTTTTATTACTATTATAATAATATTTATTTGTCAATAACATGACAATCAACTATCCCCACAGGTAATACCTCTGTACACCTTTGAATGTCAAAGTGCTGATGGTAGATTTGTACCTGTTGTACCAGGTGGTAGAAGTTTACCGTTGACTTACAACAACAGAAAAGACTATGTTGACAGGGCTCTTTATTATAGACAACATGAAATGGATTGTCAAGTAGCTGCTGTCAGAGAAGGAATGTCCTGGATTGTTCCTGTACCATTATTATCCTTATTAACTATGCAGCAGTTGGAACAAATGGTTTGTGGTTTGCCACATATATCAATAGATGTATTGAAAAAAGTTGTCAGGTAAGTCACCTTTATATTTACTATTAATAGTTGACGCAAATACAGATCCATGCGATATCAAATGTTGGTTAGTCAAGATTTCTATTTATATACGCATCTCTTACTGATCATATAACTGCATCAAGCCAAATAAAATGTCTGTTGATCACTGTGTGGGGTTGGGTAATTTATTTCAAGTGGGTATCGTAGTCTGGAAAACATATTCCCAGACTAATTTGCTTTTTATGAAATTTTAGATAATAGGTTATTTAACCCATATACTTGTATGAAGGTTGGTGCCAGAATGAATAAAAAAAGGAATCATGATGTCAAATTTTTCCCTGATGGTTAAGATGCTTGAATAAACCAAAATTTCATAATTTTCACAATTTTTTGTATATGAGGCCTGCCTTGGTGACTTTGGAATATCATATACAACCACATATTTATTGAAAACAAATTCAACCGTATGAATAAATTCAAAGAGACATTGGTAATATTATTTGTAGGTATCGTGAAATAGATGAAAACCACCATTTGGTCAACTGGTTGTGGCAGACATTGGAGGAATTCACTAATGAAGAACGAATCCTATTCATGCGATTTGTATCTGGACGTTCCAGATTACCAGCAAATGTTGCTGATATCTCACAAAGATTTCAAATTATGAAAGTGGATAGAGTAAGTATACAAAATATTGAGTCAACTTTATGATCATGCAATTACATACAATTGCATTTAGTGAACATGTTTAGTGTTTAGTTCCCTTTGTGGACAGCAGTTTGGATGGAAGGCTTAGATTGGGTTAAATCACTCAAACTAACTTTATGGTCTGATTCAAGATGGCTGATTGGTGGCCTTTTAGTTTCTGAAATTGTTTCTCAAACATATGGTGTATTAGTCACTCAAATTAGAAGAGAACCCAATGTACAGACACATTTGTATGTTATGCTATTTTGTGAAATATTCATTATTTCAAACTATGTATATTTGACTGGGCACAAAAAGTAATGTGGGACATGTAGGAAAATTTTTTTGTTTCGTTAGGACTGGAAATATATCTTCAATATATCGTACTAATTTCACTTTGTGATGATAAAACATACATTGAACAGTTGTAGCACATCTGTGACATTTTCATATTGTTTGCAGTCATTAGATGGTCTACCTACTGCCCAGACGTGCTTCTTTCAACTACGTATCCCACCATATACAAGTCAGCCAGTTATGGCTGAGAAATTAAGATATGCCATCAACAACTGTAGATCAATTGACATGGATAACTACATGCTATCAAGAAATACTGACACTGGAGCTCTATCTGATGAAGAGTTTTAGACACCATACAAATAAATCATCAAAAATGTATAGCGAGAAGCCTGAGACAGAATTTTGTTATGTTTTGAATGGATTTGTAAGCCTTTGCAATTTATTTATACATAGTTTACCTGGCATTAATGGTACTAAATTCGACTGATGCTGAAGCAGTTATAATTTATTAATTGAATATAGTAAAGCAGATACTTTTAGTTTCCTCAGTCAACATCATGCATGGAGTCAGCAGATATTTCCTGACTAAGGGTGCTCTTTCTTCATCACTGCTCTAGTTTGCTTTAAAAATGATTGAATGATTTATTTATTTATTATCAGCTGAAAAACTAATTTTTGTGTGTGTATTAGAACCTAAAACTTTTACTGATTGGCATACATGATTCATAATTCATAATTAACTTAAATTAAGTTTTATATGATTTGTATTCTTGGAATTTCTTTTCAATAAAATCATTATAGACACCAAAATGTAATCTGTTTATTTTATTATTTTTAAGTTTAAGTAGTAGTAAAGAGAACTGGACTTTGTGCTTTATGATGCTTATCTTTGTTACTTGCCATTTAATATATAGACTGAGTGGTCTAACCAACAGTATTATTTTGCATTGATTAGTGATGTTAATTAGAAATTACTGAAATTGAGATATATATTACATAACAATTTTACACTGTTGAAGTTTAGTGAGATTGAAAGAAAATATGGTTATGCTAAAAATGAATATGATGTGGTTGAATAAATAATATGTCCTATACATATATGCCATATCTTAGCAGGTTTTTGGGGAGACGATTTAACGCATAAGTAATAATAATACTTTACTGTAAATAGTCTGCTATACTGATTTAAACAAATATAGATATGTAACTTATTGATGCTGTGATACAATGGCAGCAATATATTTTAATACTGTAATGCAATTATTACAGATCAGTTCCTTAACTGAATATGCTTGGCAAAATTAGCCGTTCTGAATTTTATTTTAAATATCCTGTTTGTTGAGAACTGACTTGATATCTTTATGTGTATGTTCTGTTGTGCAGTGCATTGTAATGCAAACTTGAACATTTAAGTACATAGTGTGCAAAACATTCTGTAATACTTCTCCAATGTATCAGCACAGCTCCAATGCATTTCATTTTTTTTCATGAAAAAAATATTGCAAATATTCTTTTTAAAGTTTTTTTGTTTTTTTTTAATCATATTATTTGATATTCACTCTGCCCGGTGAATGCGAATGTTGTTTGTCCTAATCATTTTGAGAATCTGCGTTTTTATAAAATTTTCTGTGCATTAATAATATATTGATTATATTTGACATCATTAAAATAAAGATTGTTATGTTTACATGTACACATTGCTTTGTCAAGTGTGTGTCCTTCATTTTAGTACTCTGGTACAAAGCAACATCAATTTACTATAGTATAACCTTTTAAAAATGTTAGTCATTGTTAGTACATTGATTGGTACGAACTGGGTAGTATGTTTGATAATATTACACACACCAGAACTGTCTGATTTGATACAAATGTGTTTATTGGTTTAGCTATCATTATCCATGTGTCTGCATATGCAAAAACGGAATTGACAGACGACTGCAAAAGTAGCATGTATAAAGGATTGATGTTTTACAGATAACCTTTGGTTGTGTATGTATAGTGGGTTTGAATCATCAGGTTTGAACTGTCTTGAATGAATAGTAAATGGACTTTGTTTTCTGTTAGTTCACAGCGATTCCTAAAGTAACCAGTGTATTTCCAAAAATGTAAAACTGATAGTAAATATGTACTAATAATTCAATTGACCAATATTGTAGGTATAATGTCATTATCACATTGATGGTGATAGTTTTTTTATGTTGAGATGATTGTGTATATTAGTTTGGTGGTGTTCTATGCTAAATGAAAGTATATTGTATCGCTTTTTATAAATGTCCTGTTTTTATGATTTTGTAGTGCGATTAGTCATTTGTTTTGTTTTATTGGTTTCCAAAAATGAAGCTTCAATGTTTATGATGCTTGAAATGTAGGCCGTTAGAAGATGATCAACATGGCTTGCAAGTAATCATTGTGACATATATTTAAGTTACCACGTGGAAATACTAGTACTACTGTAGTGTGTGTATGCAGTAAACTATTGTTACGTACTACTGACATATGCATATCTTTTAACCTGTGTAATTACATCCAAGAAATGTACCCAGTCGTGCTATCTCTACTGAGGTCATGGGTGATGCTCAAAAAGCCAATGAGTCGATCTTCGTAGAGGATTACCTTCCGTCAATACCTTGCCATTTCTACGTATTGCGAGGTATTGTCTAATAAAAAACACACTGCTGTAATCATTGTTTATCTCTGCTCGTAGTGAATACATATGGTAGTCGTACATGGATTCTTGTATGAACTCGCAGTCGTAGCTGCCACAGTCGTCCTGGAAATGTGACGAAACAATTTGAAAATATATCTAACATCGTCCAAACTAAATAGAAGTCATTTACAGTGTATTGCGACCACCAATGCATAAATTGCCCTATATAGGCATATGGTATTTTATATGGTGGCTAATTAATTAGTTCGTTCAAGGGGAAATTTGTCAACGGATATTTGAATATGGGGAATATGTCCAAAGGTGGTCACTTTATATAAAGGTTGTCGTTAACGCAGATTTGACCACACGTCCTGATAAAACAGGTCGGATATGGTTTATCGTAAAAACACGCGTTATTTTGACAACAAAAATAGCAGTAACCGTTCCGCTACAATTGCGTATTGAATTGCATGTAAGTGTACGTGAATCCGGGCGCACATCGACTAGTTTTCATTAATTCAATCAACCGTCAATATGCATTGTGGTGTCCTGCCTACTTAGATTTTTACAATTACAAATATCTTAAATTTCGTTCTTTATATATTAGGGCCATGAACAAGAAAGTTCAAAATGATAATCTTATCACGAATATTTCAAGTAAAACAGACTTTTCATTAAAATTTCCAGTAGCCATGTGTTTATCGTTGTTTAAACAACTACAAATACGAAACAAGGGAACCTGAGGATAGCTAGTCAGATCCTTTTGACTAGTACCAGTAAATAAAATGTGTATACAAGTTGATTCAAGGAAGTTAATCACAAACGTACTGTAGTTCTTTCATAGGTATGGCATAGTATTTGATGATATAGTACCACTACTGTATAGCAAATACAATGAATTATATTGACGCCGAAGTAAAACGAAAAATATATTATTATGTGGATGTTTTGGTAATTGTTTACCTTGCGTTACGCAACTCACAGACGGGGGTAATGTTTGTTCAAGATCTGTGCCTCTTTTGTCCTCAAAAAATTCCACAAATACCATTGTGTGTACATGCATGTGCGTACACACGGTACAGAATGAAATATTCAAAATCAATCTCTGTATGACGTTGAACAAAAACAAATTATATATTCACAACAGAAGATTTTGCTATTCTTGATTAAAGTATTGAAACGACACGGCGTGTTATAGTAATTTGAATGTGCTAAACACTCTTAGAGTTTAGTTACAAGTTCGTTTGATGGAATTCACAACCTGATCATGTTGAATCATAATGGTTGAATCTTATATATACCACAGTCCCTCTGAGGGACTGTGTATATACACACTGCCTTAATTCCCTGTGTTCCGATAGTAACTTCCGCAACGCTGTCAGATTGATCATTGGTTATGTAGGAATTGTAATGTGTGACTCATTGAACACATTTCACGGATTTGTAATAAACATTTTACGTGAATTTGCATGAATAATAACATGTACACGTTGAATTTGTTATATATATATTGGACTATTCGTTTCTATGGTAACGTATATAGCC